GATAAGTGAAATAAGCCAGTCTGAGAACGATAAATATCACATGATGTCACTCATTTGTGGAAGATAATGAACAACATAAACTGATGAACAAAAATAGAGCCAGGTTGGGGGTTAATGGGGAAATGAGGACACATTTGTAATACCTTAACCAATAAAGAAATTTTAAACAAAGAAAAAAATCAATTTGCTCTTCATCTGTATTCTATCCACCTTCCCTTTTTCATTCTCTAAACTTCTTGAAAGAAATATTAATATCAAAAGTTTTTGCAGTTATATTTCCGGATATTAATTATACTCTTAGTATTTAAAAATTGAGAAAATACATACAACACCCATAAATTTAAAGCCAACTTCCATTAACAACAAGGAGTCCTTGAAATACTGGCAACTTACAAATTTAATACTTTTTCATGTAATGCCCAAAATTTAAAGGCATGTTCTTTTAAAAGTTCTCACTTTAGCCCTAACCGGTTTGGCTCAGTGGATAGAGCGTCACCCTGCGGACTGAAGGGTCCGAGGTTCGATTCCAGTCAAGGGCATGTACCTTGGTTGTGGGCACATTCCCAGTAGGGAGTGTGCAGGAGGCAGCTGATCAATGTTTCTCTCTCGTCGATGTTTCCAACTTTCTATCTCTCTCCCTTCCTCTCTGTAAAAAATCAATAAAATATATATATTTTTTTTTAAATAATAAAAAATAAAAGTTCTCACTTTATATAGGTACTCTGTATCTATGTTAGGATTCTAGGAAAACTGGTATCACATGAATGCTTGTGCATAGAACATAGTGACTCAGGATTAACACTCATTTTCACTGTTGGAATGGAAGAACGTGATAAGAAAGAGCCATATGACAAATTACTAAGTTTGCAAAGTGTTTCAGGATATTGTTTTCTCCTTTCTAAATGAAAAAAAATTACATAACGCTATATTTAGCCCCTTTTCCTTTTTGCACCTTAAAAGCACCCATCAATTTTGAAATTTCACTATGGCAATCATATTGGATTTATGGTTTGCGTATCTGTATTTACTTGATTTTCTAACTTTATGTTTCATTGGTTTGATTGGTCACTCTACTTATCATTCTGTTAGTTGCTTAAAGAAAGCCACTTAAAATATTTTATGGAACAAGGCAAAGCAGTAGGCAAGGAAGGCAGACTGCAATTATAGAAACACTAGAGGACTGGTGCACAAAATTTGTGCACGAGGTAGTAGGAGGGTCCCTCAGCCCGGCCTGCACGCTCTCCAATCCAGGTCCCCTGGCTCCTAACTGCTCACCTGCCTGCCTGCCTGATTGCCCCTCACCACTCTGCATGACTGCTTGATGCCCCTAACTGCTCTCCCCTGCCAGCCTGATTGCCCCTAACTGCTCCCTGATGGGCCCTAACCTCCTCTGCCTCAGCTCCCACCACTGTGGCTTTGTCCAGAAGGACGCCCAGAAGATGTATGGTCTAATTCGCATATTACCCTTTTATTAGTATAGATTCCAATGCAAAGCCAACACTTGGCACAGCTATGTCTCATACCCAACCAAAGGAACCATGAAAGAAGTAACTAACTGTACAGGCACAAACTCACTTGTACAGATAGTTAAACAAGTAAAATGTATGGGAAAAGGAATGACACCAAGCATTGCCACCTTGACATAAAAATGACAGCACTATCCTAATGCAATTTATGATTACTAAAATCACTGAAAACAGCAATATATTTTCATCATAGTAAACTCAAACTGCCACTTATATGTCAACATGGAACATAAAATTGAAAACAAATACTAATGCAAAAATAAAAGACAAAAGAAATACTTTTAATGTCTGTAGTCCTTTTTCATAACACAATCTTTACACTGATTATTTAGACATAAGGTTTAAAATTAATCACCAGCTCTTCCATACAAGACATGGACTTCTTCAGAATCATAAAAATTTTCACATACACTGTATAATTCTTTTTCAGCTCCAAACATTTAGTGATGTCACTATTTCCAATGTGATTTTAATAAAACTCTTATACTAGTAACTCTTTTTCTAGCCAGGTGTGCTGCAGGGGTTGGGAGGTGGGGAATACAGGAGAGGGAAATTGGGAAACATTTGTAATACTGTCAATAATGAGATAAAATAAACAAAATTAAGTTAAAAAGCTAATCCTATATAATAAAAGCCTAACATGCAAACTGACCGAACGGCGGAATGACCAGCGAAACAACCAGTTGCTATGATGTTCACTGACCATCAGGGGGCAGACGCTCAACACAGGAGCTGCCCCCAACCCGCAGATCCCAGGCCAGCCAAGGCGGGTGCCACCCCCCCCCACCCCATTGCCCTGCTGATCACCTCACAGAGGGAGGAAACTGGCGGCAGTGTCGGGATCGGGGCTGGCGAGTGGGCGGCGCCAGGCTGGCCAAGGCGGGTATCAGCAGGGGCCCCCGATTGCCCCTTCACTCACCCCACAGATCAGCCCTGATTGCCAGCCAGACCTAGGAGCCCTACCTATGCACAAATTTCGTGCATTGGGCCTCTAGTTCATATATATAAATGCAATATCTTACCTAATTAAGTTTTCATTTTAAACATTACAAAGCAGGAAGAATATAATAAATCATATTAAATAATTAGCTTTGCAAAAATATTACTCTGTAATCACTGCCTACCCTAGAAACGAATAATTTCAGCCATATGTAATACTTTAAACCATTTTCCTTCTAAATCTTTATTCTTCCTAGGTTACCTCTAATTTTAAAAGTAATAGTCATTTTTGTTTGTTTATTATATATCTTTCAAAATTTGATATTTCAAATAGCACATTAAGCAATAGGATTTTATAAATTTCTTATTTCAAAATTATGTAAGAAAAGCCATAGCTTCAACATTGGAAAACAAACTAAAGAATAAAAATACTTCATGAAAAGTAAATGTTAAAAAAAGAATAACACCTTTGAAAGAAAATAAACATAACAGCTGAATTCCAAAAAATAGAGATGACTTTTAAACCACATTGAAGACTATCACTATATATTATATCACATTTCACATAGAATTTACATAAAACTTTACACAGAATTTATAAGAGAGTTCTTACTACCTTATATCCAGGTCCTAACTGATGAACTGCAAATATCTGTGCAGGGTTGAGTGCTTCACTGAATACATACACGGCACCAAGTTGACCACAGAATACTCTATTTGCATCAGCAGTTTCGGAGGATCCAAGAAAGCACTTGTCATAGCTCTATTTTTAAAAAGTCATAAAAAGCAAATGTATTATTTTCTAATGACAAAATATTTTAGGATACCTTCTTTCACTGTCATAACAATAAAAGAAGAAAGCATCAATTAATTCTTACAGAGTATTTAAGTAATAAAAGCCAGCTAAAGATTTTTAGGAAAGATAAATCAGTTAAATGTTTTATACTGATGGGCCACTTAAACAAACAATAACCATTTACTAAATCACTTGACCACTTCTCCAACTTTATATTTAAAGGCAAAAAAAAGGGGCTTATAATTATTTATTTACAATAGTAAAACTTATTTTAAACTAAAATGATTTATTATTATTCATATTCAGAGAGAGACTCATCAGAATCAGAGAATAACTCATCCAATTTTAATCATAAATACATAGGGCCTAATTTTTAAAATGCAACCTAATTTTTCCATTATTGATATATTCTACTATTTCTCCAGACAGAGGAAATCACTTCCCTCTCTCACATAAGTAAGCATTATTCAGAATCAGAAAAGATCACAAAGGTCTGATGCCTAAAGTAGATGATACAGTGCTCTCCATCTGGAGAGTTGAGCACCTAAGAAGTCATTCTTAACAAGACCTTTCTCACTAGGACAGTGGTTCTCAATCTTCCTAATGCCGCGACCCTTTAATACAGTTCTTCATGTTGTGGTGACCCCCAACCATAAAATTATTTTCATTGCTACTTCATAACTTTAATTTTGCTACTGTTATGAATCGTAATGTAAATATCTGATATGCAGGATGTATTTTTATTGTTACAAATTGAACATAATTAAAGCATAGTGATTAATCACAAAAACAATATGGAATTATATATGTGTTTTCCAATGGTCTTAGGCGACGCCTGTGAAAGGGTCGTTCGACCCCCAAAGGGGTCGCGACCCACAGTTTGAGAACCACTGCACTAGGATGTTTTAAACCTCTCCTAATATTTAGTCCCACCCATCTAGACCAGTGAAAGCAGTCACTGCTGTTTCTCTCTCACATCCTCACAGGTTATTACACTCATGTGAATGAGATACAAAATCAGAAAATAGTCATTAACTATCCAATCCTTAATTAAAAGTATAATAACTTAAGAATTGACTTCATAATGCATATGTGCATATGCATTATTGTCCAGGCCTCTCCATTTAGTGGAGCGCTACTGCAAATAATTCACAAATCTAAGAATTTTCTTCCTTGAATTAAAAATATATATAACTGTAGAGGTAATGACAGTCAACATGATCACTGAGGTTTTTTTCACTCTAATAAAAAGACTTTTTCCTTTGGAGAGCAAAACTTAAGAATTTCATCTGTATATTCTAATTCTGACAAAATTATCCTCATAAATATTTACTATGTCCTGACTACAAGGTTCTAGGACAAAAAAAAAACAAAAATTTTTTCTATAAAGGAACAGATAGAAAATATTTTATGGTTTGTAAGCCACATATGATTTCTGTTATCTTCTTTGATTTTTGTTTGTTAGGGTCATTAAAAAATGTAAAAACAGATTCTTAGTTTCTAGGCCACACAAAAAGAGGTAAAGGGCCCTGACCTAGAGAACAAACTAGACTATGCATACAGTGCTACTAGGAGAACAAGAGCCAATCCCTGCACTGAGAAGACTAAAGTCTACTGAGATGCAGATAATATTGAGATATGAATTTTATTAAAAAGAGGCTTGCTGGAATTATTCTTTGGGCATTAGAACACATCTCTTATTTTTGCTCTAACAGGCTTGGATGAAGATAAGAGAAGGCCCAAAATAGAGAAAAAAGAACTTTTAAGGTCTTAAATCTATATATCCTCTATTAAGAATCCAACTATGTTATCTCCTCCACTGCTAATATTCTAGTCAAAATTACTATCTCTTTGTTATAGCAGTAACATTTAACCAGATCCCCCTGCTTCTGCCAATTATTTTCCTTAAAAATATTCTCAATACTGCAGCCTGATTGATGTCTCCAAAATACCAATCAGCATCATGTCTCTAGTCTGCTTATAATCTTACTAGAGGCCTGATGCATGAAAATCATACAAGAGTAGGCCTTCCTACTCCCAGCTCCTGGCACCAGCTTCCCTCTGGCACCTGGGACCCAGGCTTCCCTTTTCCGCAGGCAGGCACACAGGGCCCGGGCTTCCCTCACAGCCCTGGCTTCCTCCAGAAGGTGGTCAGGAAGGACTTCCAGTCTAATTAGCATATTATGCTTTTATTATTATAGATAAAGATTTTGAGACTAGATAACATTGGAAAGCCCAAGCCTTATGTTAGTACATGAGGCCTTGCATATTTGACTGTCTAGTATCTGCTTTGCCTCATCTCTTATCTGTTCTTTTCCCTCTGCCCCAAACAAACTGGTTACTTTGTTGTTTAAGAAACTTTCCAGTTTTGGCTTAAAACCTTTCAACATCCAATGAATGGGATATTCCCCCCAAATATCCACATGGCTTGCTCCCTGAACTCTAATAAAATCATTTCTGAATCATCTGGCTTCTCCCATCCCTAAACCTACACTTTCTATATCTGTTCCCACTTAATTTTAGTCCATAGAATTTATCACCATTTATCTAATAACTAGTAGTGACTATATGTTATACTTATCTGTCTAAGGTTTTTGTGTCATTTCCAAATAAGGCAAAAGATACATTTTTAATGCCTGGGATTCTGGAAATACTAGAATACAGCCTTGATGTTTTTGACCTAATATTTAATAAATTATCAAAGCATTTTTTTTCTTTTTTTGTATCACTAATCATGTCTTGTAGCAATTATATTAAAGACTTAAAAATTCACTTAATAGAAAAAAGTTCAAAGTAAAACTATTAAGTTTCTAACAAACTATTTAATTATTCAGTTATAAACAATTACATATCATATGTTCAAATACATTAAAACACAGGTTAAAATAAAACTTACATCATTTGTGTTAACATGCCAAGCCATATCACCATAGGATACTAGCTGTCCATTCACATAGCATCGAATTTCACTGTTTCTCCATCGATTGTATATGTGGACAATGCTGATCATATACCACTTAAATGAAAAAAAAATTAAAGATATCAATAAGTAATGTTTAATTTTTATTGTATAAAAAGCAATTATAACATTCATAACATACCTACAAAAAATGCTTTCAGCAAGTAACAGTTGCCCTCTACTATTTGAGTTCCCTCATCCCATTTCTCATCTATCAGATGAAAGAAGTAAGTCATAAAGAATAAACTTGTGATTTGGACAGAGCTAGAAAGCCTTGAATCTTACTAAACCTTCCAATTAACAAAGATCCAAAAACTATGAAATTACGATTATATTTGTGTTGATTCATTTAACAACATTTACATTGTGCCAGGTACTGCAAACTCACAGATTTGACAAGACTGTGCTACATAGTTCCCACTTTCCTGAAACTTATGGTATAATGAAAAAGACATACATTAAACAAGTAAAACAATATAGGATCACAAACCATAATGATTTCTGTGAGGAAAAGAGAATGGTTTAAAATGAGAGAGAATAACCTAGATTATACTTTGGACTGCATGGTCAAGAAAGACCTGACAAATGAAAAACTTTTTAACATTAATAGTACAATTTAGATACAATTGAAACACGCCATTTAGACTTATTAAATCAGGGATAATTTTATATTCTAAACTTAACTTATGAATATTCATTAAAAATAAAGAAATAAATTTCAATTGAGTTCTCATTTTATATTTACTAGGGCCAACAAAATGCATTTTTAGTGTTGTTGGGTTTTTTTTATATAGATGGATTTAGTTATATAATAATTTGTGGATCCAAAACTTAGTTTCTTTATAGTTAACTAGAGGCCCAGTGAGTGAAATTTGTGCACGGGTAAGGTCCCTAGGCCTGGCCGGTGATCAGGCCCATTGGGGCCTTCTGGCTGCTGGCTGGGGCCTTCCTTCAGGCTGCTGGCCAGGAAATTCCTTCCCCACCTGCCAGCTGCTGGTGGGGGCCTCCCTTCCCTGGATGCTGGCTGAGGCCCGGGGCCATCATTTGTTCTGCACACTCCCCCCTGGTGGCCAATGTATGTCATAGCGAGCGATCAAACTCCTGGTCTCTTGGTCGAGCTCCCGAGGGGACAATTTGCATACTAGGCAATTTAGATGATAGATAGATAGATGATAGATAGATAGATAGATAGATAGATAGATAGATAGATAGGTAGATGATAGATAGGTAGCCTAAAGCAGAGAATATAAAAATAGTTCTCTAAAATGAGAAAAACACAAATGATTTCTAGATATTTGAGCAAGTATACCTTCTGTGGATAAGGGGGGCGAGGGATAATTAGACTAGCTTTCATAAAAAAAAAAAAAAAACATAAAAATATAGACTACAGACTTTGTTCTCCAGATTACTTAAAAGCACTATTCAATTACTTAATAAATATTTGCAAAGTACATAACTTTAATAATAATTCTCAACCACTAAAAATTGTTATTTCAAGTTGTCTGGAATATTTTGAACAAAATTCAATTCATTTATTTTTATTTAGAAAATCAACACTAAACAACTCACAGAAAACAGTAATATATAAAAAACATTATCAACTATAAAAATAATGTCAGGTCAAATCATTTAACTCATTCACAAGTTTTTTATCTTCTTAAGTTGTTTCATTCTAGGTAATCTAATTTGTTGCAAATTGAGTCATTAAAGTTAGTCATTTAACAGCTCATGTTTCTAAGTATTACAAACTTATGAGAAAAGAGCTCATAAAATTGAGCATCAAATAAATTTAAGAAAACTTCATAGATATTTACATATGTAAGAATCAAAATTTATCTAAATAGCCCTAGCTGATTTTGCTCAGTGGATAGAGCATCAGCCTGCAGACTGAAGGGTCCCAGGTTTGATCTGGTCAAAAGCACATGCCTGGGTTGCTGGCTTGATCCCCAGTAGGGGTTTGCAGGAGGCAGCCAATCAATGATTCTCTCTCATCACTGATGTTTCTCTTTCTCCCTCTCCCTTCCTCTGTGAAATAAAAAATATGTATGTTTTAAAAAATTTTCTACATAATTTTCAACCATAATGCAATCTAGACACAATATGTACATTTTTAATAAAATTTTGAGAAATTAAAATATCTAAATAGAATAGACATGATTATAAATATAAAAATTTTCTGCTGCTGAAAGACAGTGTTTGTTTTAAAACAAACACTAAAAGCTGTACAATTGAGAGATTCCAAGATGGTGGCAGAATAAGCAGAAGCTGCACTGACAATCTCCCAGTACCAAATTAAAATTACACTAAAATATAGAGGTATCATCCTGAATAACCTACAGAAGACTAAATGGAAAGAACCCTTTTAAACAAGGATGTAAAGAGGAGGCCACATCAAGATTGGTAGGAAGTGTGGTGGTGCAAGAAGGCTGGTTAGGCTCGCACAGGCAGCAGTGAAATTCTGGAGAAATATATCAGTTGTAGGGGGTTACCTCTGAGAAGTCTGGGATATAAACACAAGCTGGACTCCCCGGTCCAGAGTAACAAAACTGGGAAAGGTGCCTAAATAACACCTGGCTATGAAAAGCACCAGGGGTACAGTCCAGCAGGAGAAGATGGCTAGATACACAGGCACCCCCTTAATGGGCCAACACACTAAATTGCATTTGCAGGCACTCAACTTGGACTCCGGCAGAGAGAGGGCAGGGTGAACTAGAGCTGCATGAGGAGAGTCTGTAGCTCTGTGGAGACAGCCACCAGGATCACTATGCTGAAGAAGCATTCCCCACTTCTGCAGAAGCATTCTTTCTTGGGCAGAGCTTTCCCAACAATACAGCTTCAGCATGGGGGGAAGCAATTGCCCCACCAATAGAAAATCCTCTTGTCCCACCCTGGAGAGTTTACATCCACTGTGCTAACATGCTTCTGGGCCTTGGGCTAGAAAGAGCAGATCTTGGTGCACAGCTTGGTCCTTTCCACATGCACTCAGACACAGCTGAGGAAGCCATAACTGTGGCTCTGATAGCTCTAAACAGGGTACGCAGAGCCCATTATAAACAGCAATAATTCAAAACAGGAGATGAAATAAAGAGCTTACAAGACAATAAAATTGGTTAAAAGAGTTTGTTAACAACAATCCAGCATTACAAGAAATGTTAAAGGGCTGTTAGAAGAAAAAGAATGAGAGAGAAACAAGCAAAAATAATACAAATGACAATCTACACTAATAAAAGAAATCACGCAAATTGACCGTACCTTTGCTGCACCTTAACCCACGCCCACCAGCCAATCAGAGCAACTATATGCACATTAACCCAACCAAGATGGCAGCCAGCAGCCACAAAGCTGGAGCAAGCAGGAGGCTTGGTTGCTCCAGTGATGGAGGAAGCCAAGCTCCCGCGCTGCCACGGCTGGCACTGAGCTCCACTCAAGGCAACAAAGTTTCAATTATAGAAGATAAATAAACCCCAGATACCTGCTTTCAGCCAGCCGTGGCCACGGAGCTGGAGTGAGCAGGAGGCTTAGGTTGCCCCTAGCGATGGAGGAAGCCAAGCTTCCCGCCCACCCTGGCCAGCTCTGATCTCCACTCAAGGCTACAAAGTTTCAATAATAGAAGGTAAATAAATCCCAGAAGAAGAAAAAAAAGAAAAAAAGGTGAGGATGGGAGCTTCCGTCACCGGGGGGCTTGGCCAGCCTGAAAACAGCACTCAGCCCCTCACCCAGACTGGCCAGGCACCACAATGGGGAACCCCACCCTAAAGGGGTGTGGCAAGCCTGAAAAGAGACATCAGCCCCTCACCCAGGGTGGCCACACCCCCATGAGGTGAGGGTCCCCACTGGGGGCAGGGGGGCTTGACCAGCCTGCAAACAGCCATCAGCCCCTCACCAAGGCAGGCCAGGCAACCAGTGGGACCCCCACCCTGATCCAGGACACCCTTCAGGGCAAACCAGCCATCCCCCACCCATGCACCAGGCCTCTATCCTATATAATAAAATGGTAATATGAAAACTGACCCTAACAGCAGAACGACTGGGAATGACTGGAAACTATGACACACACTGACCACCAGGGGGAAGATGCTCAATACAGGAGCTGTCCCCTGGTGATCAGTGCGATTCCACATGAGGAGCTCTGCTCAGCCACAAGCCAGGCTGATGGCTGCCTCCACAGCGGTGGTGGCGGGAGCCTCTCCCACCTCCTCACCAGCACTAAGGATGTCCGACTGCAGACCATTATAAACTGATGAACAAAAATAGATACAGAGGGAGAGCAACATCGAACAGACTATCAAACTACAGCAGGATGTCGGGGGAGGGTGGAGGGAGGGGGGGCATAGGTAAGAGATCAACCAAAGGACTTGTATACATGCATATAAGCATAACCAATGGACACAAGACACTGGGGGGGAGGGGGGGTTTTGGAGGCCAGGGGAAGGTCAAGGGGAGAAAATAAAAGGAGACATATGTGATACTCTTTGTAATACTTTAAGCAATAAAAACAAAATTAAAAAAAAAAAGTCAGGGATCGCCCATTAGGGATAGCTCCATGGTTGAGCATCAACCTATGAATCAGGAAGTTACCATTCGATAGTTCGTTGCAGGCTTGATCCCCAGTATGGGGCATACTGGAAGCAGCCGATGAATTATTCTCTGTCATTACTGATGTTTCTATCTCTCTCTCCCTCTCCCTTGCTCTCTGACATCAATAAAAATCTATACTTCACACACACACACACACACACACACACACACACACACACAATACTAGAAGCCCATTGCAGGAGGATTCCTGCAAGAATAGGGCTTCCTCCGGTTGATTGCACCTCCAAGCCCCTCCCGCCCAGGGCTGCACACAGGGGTCCCGCGAGGTTTAGGCGGCTCATTCGCTCCACCAAGCCCCTGCCCAGGACCGCTCATGTAGGGAGGGGAGGGGGGTCCCAGCTGGGGGCGGGGCTTAGGCGGCTCGTTTGCACCCCCAAGCCCCACTGCCCAGGACCGCTCATGGGGGTCTCGCGGGGCTTAGGCAGCTCATTTGCTGTTTGCGCCACCAAGCTGGCTGC